GAAAAAAGTTTAAAACAGAGGTATCAAATTAGATAAAAATAGGCACAGAAAAAAAGTTTTAAGAGCAAAATGATTAAGAGATTAAAATATTAAAAAATGGGGACAGTGAACTAGAACGGAGATGTAGAAATAAAATTTTTTAAAAGATGGCACTAAGGAAGGACAAGCAGTAATTCAAAACTAAAGACATCAAACAGCATTAGATAGAACATTTTTGTAAGTGATAAGGACTAGAGGTAAAGAAAAAGATTAAAAATAGGGACAACAAATAAATGAAGACATACAAAGTAAATATTTAAAGTGACACAGCACATGAAAGGAGGGAAAAAATTATAAAATTGGCATATGGACCATTACGAAGGTAGGCAAAGAATGAAATATAAAAAGCAATGAGGTGCAGGACACACAGGAAAGAACTAAAAATAGAGTCAGAAAACTACATAAAAATATATATATATAAGCAATATTTTAAAAGCCAAGGGATCAAGAGAGAAAATAATTAAACAATATTGATAGCAAATGAAAACACACGGAAGAAAACTGAAGGCAATGAAAGACAAGAAATAATAAAAAATAAAGACATTGAGGGGAAAAAAATAGGTATAGGAAGAACTTCTAAAAAGTCAGTGAGCTTACTAAAATAAAGGGAAAACCTAAAAAACTAGGGACAGCAAATTAGAAAAGATGGAGAAAGAAAATTTAAAAAGCAAGAACACTATGGAAAGACAAGAAATAATAAAAAACATAGCAAAGGAAACAAAAGTATGCATAGAAAGAACATTTAAAAAGTGATAGGCATTAGGGAAATAAGGGACAAAATTAGAAGAGACAGCAAACTAAAAGCTGTAGAAAGAAAAGATAAAAGGGACAGCACTGAGGAAAACCAGTAAATTATTAAAAGACAGCAAAATAAAGACAGCATATGAGATAAAAGTAGACAGATAATTTTAAAAGAAACAGGGAATAATAAGGAGAAAATTAAGAAGTAGTGATGGCAAATTCAAATGCAGACAGGAAAAAGAATCTAAAAAGTGCTGGCAAAGAAGAAAGAGAAGAAATAATTTTTAGAAGACAGCAAAGGAAAAAAAAGCAGGCATAGAACAAACTAAAAAATAGGGACAGCTAACAAAAATGGAGACATGTAGAAAGAGTATCAAAAAAGCAATGGCATTAAGAGAAGAAATCATTCAAAATAAAGGTACACAAAGACAGCAAACAGGATAGAAGTAGAACATTTTAAAAGCAGCAGTGATTAAGGAAATAAGTAAAAAAAAAAAACCAAAAAACAAACAAACAAAAAAACCAATCGTGAACTAACATGAAAATGTTGGAAAAAAATTAGTGAGTGATGCCACTAAAAGAAACACTAAAAAATAAAGACAGCGAAATAGACAAAAGCAGAAAACATTAAATGCTAAGGGATTAAGAGAGGAAAGGACTAAAAATGGAGAGAGCATAATAAAAGGCAGACATAGAAAATTTTAAAAGCAACTGCACTAAGGAGAACAAAAAATTTTTAAATTACAGCAAAGGGGAAAAAAAGTAGGCATAGAAAGAGCAGTTAAAAAGTGCGGGGAATTAGGAAAAAAACTAAAAAATATGGACAGCAAACTAAGAGAGATATAGAAAGAAAATTTTAAAAGTGAAGACACTAAGGAAGGACAATAAATAATTTAAAAATAAGGATGAGATATACACAGAAAATTTTAAAAGGGACACAATTGAGGTAATAAAGGGAAAAAAAATTAAAGAATACACACACCAAACTAAAATGAAGACTAAGGAAAAATATCTAATAAGTGATCACACTACAGAAATAGAATAAATAATTGAAAAATAAAGACAGTGAAATAAAGACAGCAAATGGGATAGAAGTAAACAGAAAATTCGAAAAGCAACAGTGATCAAGGAAATAAGGAGAAAATTAAAAAGTAGAGACAGCGAACTAAAAAGGAGATGTAGAAAAAATTTAAAAAGTGAGGGCATTAAGAAAACTAATTAAAAATAGACATTGAAGGGAAATAGGCATAGAAGGAACATATTCAAAGTGTAGGCACTGGGAAAAAAGGTAAAATTATGACAGAGACAGAGAACTAGAACAGAGATGTAGAAAGAAAATCTAAAAAGCAAGGGCACTAAGGAAAAACAATAAATCATTAAAAATAAAGATATCATAGGGAAAAAGTAGTCATAGAAGGAACTAAAAAGCAAGTGCACTTAGGAAAATAAAGGGAGAAACTAAAAATCAGACATAGCAAACTAGAAGAGATGTATGAAGAAAATTTAAAAAGCAAGGGCACTAAGGAAATAAATAAGTTAATAAATGGCAAAGGAAATAAAAGTATTCATAGGAAGAATATTTTAAAAGCAATAGGCATTAGGGAAATAAAGGGAAAAATTATGAAACACAGACAGCCAACTAGAATAGAGATGTAGACAGAAAATATAAAATGAGATGCCACTGAGGAAGAACTAGAAATTAAAGGAAAGGACAGCAAAATAAATATGGTGAATAGGATAAAAGTAGACAGAAAACCTTAGTAACAATAGTGAATAAGGAAATAAGGAAAAAATTAAATACCAACAGCTAACTAAAAAGGAGACATAGAAAGAAAATCTAAAAAGTAAGGGCAAAGAAGCAAGACAAGGAATAATTTTTTTTAAAGCCAGCAAAAGGAAAATAAGGTAGGCATAGAAAGAACTTTTTAGAAGTGCAGGTGATTAAGGCAATAAAGGGGAGTAATAAAAAATAGGGCTAATGAACTAAAACTGAGACATAGAAAAAGTAACTAGCAAGAGAGGGCACTAAGGAAAGACAAGAAATAATTAAAAAATAAAGACAGACAAATACAGACCACAAACAGGATAAAAGTAAAGAGAACATTTTAAAAGCAATGGTGATTAAGGAAATAATTAAAAATAGCAATGGCAAACGAAAACAAAAGCATAGAAAAGTTAAGAAGTAATGCCACTAAAATAAGACCAAAAAAATTAATTTAAAAATAAGACAGTGAACAAGATAAAAGTAGAAAATATCAAATGCCAAGTGATTAAGACAGGAAAGAACTGAAAAACAGAGCCAGCAAATAAGACAAAATAAAAAAAATTTTTAAAGCAAGGGCACTAACGAAAAACAGAAAAATTATGAAAATATAAAGACAGCAAAGGGGAATAAAAGTAGGCATGGAAAGAACATTTTAAAAGCAAGAGCAATTAGGAAAATAAATGGGAAAATTAAAATACAGACAGCAAACTGAAAGAGACATAGAAAATATAAAAAGTGAGGGTGCTAAGGAAAGACAAGTAATAAATCTTAAAAACAGCAAAAAAAATAGGGACAATGAACTAAAAAGAAAAAAAAATAAAATGACAGCACTATGGAAAGACAAGAAATAAAAACCAGTGAAATAAAAACTGCGAATGGGATAGAGGTAGAAAATTTTTAAAACGATGGGGATTAAGAAAATAAAGAAAAAAAAAAAATACATGGATGGACAACTAAAATGCAGATTAAGTAGAAAATCTAAAAAGCAATGGTAACGAAACCAGAAAATAAATCATTTTAAAAAGCCAGCGAATGGAAAAAAAGTAGTCATAGAAAGAAAAGCAAAGGGGATTAAGGAAATAAAGGACAGGAATAAAAATCAAGGACAGTGAACCAAAACAGAGACATAGAAAGAAAATCTAAAAAGCAAGGGTGCTAAGAAAAGAGAAGAAATAATCTAAAAATAATCATAACCAATAGAATAAAAGTAGACAGGACATTTTAGAATAAAATAGGATCAAGGAAATAAGGAACAAATTAAATCATAGCAACACTGAACTAAAATAAAGTAGAAAAAAAATAAAAAGCAATAGCACTAAGGAAAAACAAAAAGATTTTAAGAGACAGCAAAGAGTAAAAGTAAAAAACTTTAAAAGCGGTGGCAATTAAGGAAGGAAATAATGACAAAATAGCAACGGCAAACTAAAATGGAGACACAGAAAGAAAATTTTAAAAGTGACAGCACTGAAGAAAAAACAAGACAAAAACTATTAAAAAAACCCTAAAGACAGTGCATAAGATCAAAGTAGACAATTTTAAAAGCCAAGGGATTAAGAGAGGAAAGAACTAAAAAATAGCAACAGTGAACCAAAATGCAGACATAACCAGGTTAAAAAGTGATGTCACTAAGGAAAGAGAAGAAATTAAAAAGTACAGACAGTGAACAGGAAAAAGGTGCACCAAAAGAGGATTTTAAAAGCAACAAGGCTTAAGGAAATAAAGAAAAAAAAATAGGGACTGTGAACTAAAACAGAGACCTTGAAATAGTATTTTAAAAGTAACAGCAGTAATGAAAGTAGAAACAATTGCCAAATAAACACAGCAACTGGGATAAAAATAGAACATTTTAAAAGCAACAGCAATTAGGGAAATAGAGGGAAAAATTTAAAAAAAAAATAGGGACAAGGAATTTTTAAAAAAATAATCTAAAAGCAAGGGGGACACGACAACAATTAAAGGTAAGGATTGGCAGCTTCATAAAAGTAGACATGGAACTTTAAAACCAATGGGGTAAGGGAAGCCCCAGGCCGCGCCGCACGCTCCCGAAAGCAATGCGGCTGCCCGGCAGCCAGGTCGGCGACAACCACATGTCCCGACATGCACTGGGAGGTGCGGCATGGCCGCCCGGAACCTGAGTGCCGGGACACTCCGGCTCCCGGCTGCCCCGGGGGTGGAACATGGCCGCCCGCAGGCTCCGCGCCCCGGGGCTGCAGCTCAACTCCCTTCTGACCGTGCGGGGAAGCGGGTGCCGCCCTGCATAGGGCCGGGCCGCTGCCATCAGCCCCCCTGCCCGCCCTGGGGCTCCTCTAGCCCCGGCCCGCAGGTGGAGCCCAGCAGGAACAGAGTGCCACCACCCGACCCGCACAGCGTGTCACCTCCTTCCCGGGGGTCCTTCCAGCCCCCCGCCCAGTGCAAAGGAAGCACAAAACCGCCGTGACGGCGAAGGAGAGGGCAAGTGTTTATCTAGTTATGTACATAAGTCCCAGAAGCAAGGCTGCTCCAGGGCTCAGGGGCACCCAACACTCCCCCTGCCCCTCATGTTACCGCAAATCCGGTCTCAAAAGAACCCTCGTAAGACTTAGTTGGAAGTTTTAGAATACCGGCAATTCTTTATTGCAGCGCTGGATGCACAGGCCATCATCCCACCTAACGTGCATGCCAAAAGACAAAGGCACGCTTATTACATACAATCAAAGGGGTGAATATTCATGTAATTTCTGAGTACACACCTATTTCTAGAGGATCTAGTGCATATGTTAATACGTTGCACAAACGTACTAAAATTTGGGGAAGGGCCTTTGAGGGGCTTCCATGGGGGTTTTCGGTGGTCTGTGGTGGTCCCTAGTGGTTGCTGGAGAGGTGCCTCTTAGTGTCCTTTCCATGGAGTCTTTTTTCATATAAGGTCTTGGCTTGGCTTATGGCTCCGTCTGTAAAGTTTCACAGCTTTCTTATTTTTGGCTTCCACAGGTGTCTGGTCAGTTATCTGCCCTCCTCAGGATGCACTCATTACAGCTGCAAAAATTACATCTTTGGATGCATTCTTGTGTGAGGCCCCTTACAGCAGTTAGCATCAACTGCTTCCAGGCACCAGCTACCAGGCATCACTCCACACCTCGGCCATGTGCCTGAAGCCACATTCATTGGTCCAGTGGAGAATAGTCAGTTCGCTCCTGGGCAAAGGGTGGAGGCCACCAAAACCAGGCAGGGTGCAGGACACTAGAAGAAAGGAGAAAAGTGTCAGCTGGCCGGACAGCTGGGGTGTAGTGAGAAAGCATGATGCAGGGAACAGGATGGCAAGAGAAAGATGGGAACAGGGAGCCCAATGGAGGTGGAGAAAGAAGCAGCAGGGAGAGAGGAAGAGAGGCAGCAGAAAGAGGGAGGGGAAGCAGGACAGAGACCAACAAAGGAGGACAGGGAGCAGCATGGAGATGCAGAAAAAACCTGGGACAGGCAGCACAACAAAAAGGCAGGAAAAAAGAATGGGGACAGGGAGCAGTACTAAGAGAAAGACAAAAAGGCTACAAATAACTGAGCAGTGAGAGAAGATGAGCAAGGGTGGATGAAACAACAGGGAGCCAGGATAGTGAATGATGGAGGGAAGGAGTGGGGCAGGAAACAACACAAAACAAACTGCACAGCTACATGCTACAGGGCAGAGGGAAGAATTAAGAAATAGACACAAGGAACTGGGAAAAAAGAGAGCTGGAGAGCAAAAAGAATAGCAATGAAAGAAAGTGGGAATTCTAAAATAGGGTCATTCAGGAGTCAGAGACAGTGAAATGGAAAAGGATAAAAGCAACAGGGTGGAGAGGGAGGAGTTCATGAACAGGGCAGACAGCTAGCCAGACAGACATAGACAAAGGCAAAAGATTGCATGGACTACAAGGCAGAGAAGGAAGAATTCAAAAGCCAGGGACAGGGAACTGTAGAGAGAGAGGCAGAAATAAAATCCAAAAAAGCGACAAGCCACAGGGCAGGGAAGGACGAATTGATAAATAAGGACAGTGGACCAGACAGAGCATGATGAAGAATGGAAAAAAATATAGCAGCAGGCTACAAGGAAGAGGGAGGAACTGAAGAACAGGGAGTGGAAGCCAGACAGAGACATGAAAAAAAAAATAAAGTGATAGTCTACAAGACACATAGGAAGGAAATATGAAATAGCAGCAGGGAGCTGGACAGAGACATGGAGACAGACAGACAAATAGCATGGGTCTATGGGACTGAAAATGTGGACCCATGCTATGGTTAAAACACAGAGAAAGGGAGCTGGCCAGAGAGAGTGGGGCAAGGGACAGACAGGCTACAGGGGGCAAAGGGAAGATTTAAGAACTGGGGACAGGGAGCTGGACAGAGAGATGGAGATTGCAGGAAGAAGAGGGAGGAATAAATAGGGACAGGGAGCTGGACAGAGAGGGACAGAGAAAGGCAAAAATAGCAGCAGAGTACAGGGCAGAGTGGAAGACTTTAAAAATGGGGGCAGTGACACATATAGAGAGATGGAGCAAACAGGCCAATTTCTGCCAAGGGGGGCAGCGAGCTCCCAGCACCACTCCGTCATGGACGGCTTGGAGGGATCCTTCCTCACTGCAGGCTCTGAGTGCAGAGGAGGCAGAAAATTTTCATTCATTAATGTGTGGTCAGTCCCAGGAGCAAGCCTGCTATGGAGCTTAGTGCTTGTACACTCAACCTTCCCCTGAGACAAGCTGGCAGTTATTACTGGAGCAGCAGATATAGGGAACGAAAATACAGTGGTGGGGAGCAGGACGGAGGAACAGAAAGGGGAAAATAAGGGAGAAGGACTGAGGAGCAGAGAAAGAAAAGTACATGGAAAAGGACAGTGAGATGGAGAAATCAATTAAAAAAAAGGGATGAGGAGCCCTGCAGGGACATGGCAGAAGAAAAACATGGTCAGGGACCAGGATGGAGTGGCAGATAACAAAAAAAGCCTAAGAGAGAACATGACAGAGAAATGGGGAAAAGGAGAGAGAAACAGAGAGAGCACAAGAGGGATAGGGAGCAGGACAGGGAGATGGAGCGGGAAGGGAAAAAGACAGGAGGAAGAACAAAGGGAAAGAGACACAAGGGCAAGGAGCAGGACAAAAGGATGGAAGAAGAAAGAAAGAATGATGGGCTGAAGGACAGACATGGAGAAATTATAAAATAGACACAGGGAGCATGATAATGACAGAGACAGAAAAATGGGACAGAGAGTGGGACAGAGCAGCACTGGCTAGAAAAAAACAACTGACGGGCGATCTATGGTAGCAACAGGCGCCCGAGGTGCAGTACCGACGCTCGGTCGCCGGGCGGCAGCAACACCTTAACGATCCTTCTGTGAGCATAGGGTAGGATGAGAAATGAGTGACAGCTCAGACCAGTTTACAGCAGCCAAAGACGGCAACTACTTACTGGGAGTACAGGGCTCACATTTCTCTGCCCTGGGAGTAGCAGCAGCGAGTCAACAGATACTGTAGAAAGATTTTTTAAAAACACGGGAACACAGTCCCCACACTGAAGGCAGGAGGGAACAGAGACTTAAAGCTGCTTTTCCAAGAGGGACAACTATGTTTAGAAGGAAACAGCATGTCTGAGGAGACCAGATGCAAGCGGCTGATCTGGAAATGAGCAATATGCTGCAGACCCTTGGGCTTTGTTGTGCCATCTGCACCTTTCCTCACCTCTCTGCTATCAGTACTGTGCTCTCCTCATACTACATCCACACAAGGGTTCCTGTACAGGGCTTGTCATGTCAGTAAGAGACACTGCACCCTGCCCTCCAGAGTGCAAAGTAATAAGACATAAAGCAGGGAAAGCAGAGGCATGTCGGTATATTAGATGTCCTCAGCAGATGACCACAGAGCCCTGGAGGTTCCATCTTGGCTCTGTACACAATGATCTCAGCAGTTCGTACACAGGGTGAAGTTAACCTGAGAATGAGTGACAGGGTGTAGCGGTTTCTACAACAATCATACTGTCCACACAAAGTAAGAGGTGAGAGAAAGGGGCCTGCTGCGTCCCTTGAAAGGCAGAATTCCTGTAGATTCTGCCAGGGCTGTTTCACTCTTCTGTCTTTGGCAGTTACTTCCCAGAAGTTGGGAGATGGGTATGTTTTCAAGGCCCATACTGCTGCTTACAGAACAAAAGGCACTATGAAGCAGCAGTGACGAACAAGGATGGCCTGTCAAGATGGCAGCAATAACATGGAGAGCCTAAAGCACTAGCCAGGCAAGGTTTGCAACTGAGCTTGTGTTGTGGTTTAACCCCAGCAGTCAACCAAGCCCACAACTGCTCACTCACACCTCCCACCCCGAGGATGACGGAGAGAATCAGAAGGGTAAAAGCGAGGAAACCCATGGGTTAAAATAAAAACAGTTCAACAACCACAACATCTTCTAAGGAAAAGAGAGGAAAAAAAAATACCAAAGAGGAAAACAAAACCCAGAAAAGTGAGACAAATGAAGACAACTGCTCACCACCCCCTGCCCAGGCAGTCCCCGAACAGCAGCCACCCCACCAACGTCCCCCCTAGTTTTATTACTTAACATGCATCGCAGGGTCTGGAATGCCCGTTGATCAGTTGAGGTCAGCTGTCCCAACTCTCTGTGCAGCCCCAGCCTGCTCAGTGGCAGGGCCAGGCAAGGAGAGCAGCCCCGGACACTGTGCGAGCGCTGCTCAGAGGTAACTGAAACACCCCTTTGTCATCAACACTTTCCAGCACAAATCTGCAAGGTACCAGGAGGGAGAGTGGAATGGGAGTGGGCATGGGAGCTGGGTGCAGGGAAGTGGGAAGTGAGTGTCAGAGCTGGGGGGGTGAAGAATGGGCAGATGGGGGCCTGCAGGCAGCACCTTGGGTGTTCAGAAGGGTTATGAGGGGACAAGGCCAAATATGGGGAGGGGAACAGGGGTGGAGGGGGGACATGGGGAAAAACCGCATGCGGCGGAGCTTTTGGTGTAACGTATTTGGGAGAGTGGAGAGACACACAAAGGGGGACAGAGGGGAGGAGAGGGACATGAGGAAGGGGGGGATGGACACAGATTTTGGGTAGGTGTAGGTATAAAGGTACATGGGGGACATGCATGGGGATGACCTACACCAGGAGGTCCACCCGGGAAAACCTACAGCAGATAACTCACCTGGCATAACCAGCAAGAGATAATCCACTCCCGTAACTGACCCACGCCAGATAACAAATCCACACCGGATAACCCGCAGCAATGCCCCTCTAACAGCCAGTGTTTCTCCCCTAATGGATTTGTTGGGGTTCTTCTGGCTTTTCCATAACAAAAAAATTGGGTATTTTTGCTTTTCCAAAATAATCAATTTTGATTTTTTTCAGCTTTTTTCCACAACATAAAAATTAGTGATTTTTGCTTTTGTGCATGAAAATGGGGTGGGTTGTTTGGTTTTTTTTTTTTTTATTTTTCTTTCCAGACACACAAATCCAGGCACATTTTCTGTTCCTGGCAGTCCCAGAATATTTTTGGGCTGTGGCAGTGGCTCCCACTCTGCATGTGCCACCCCACAGCGTAACGACTCTGTTTGGGGGAAGAGGCCCCAAATCAGGATGGGAAAAGGGGGAAATGGAACAGGGTAAGCTTTTGAAAGCACTTTTATATCTTCACTAGAGAGGTATTTATAGGATGGGTCAAGTTTTTAAAACTTTTCTATAAAAAGGGTTTTCTGGCATTGTAAAGTATAAAGGTCTGCTATAGAAGGCTTTACATATCTATTTATGCACATATAAATATATATGGTTTATATATATTATCTATTTATACTTATCTATATGTTTAGATTTATATACACTCACATATTTACACTTACACAGATTATTTCTTCACATTTGTATCTACTTACGCATAGACTTACATATTAACACTTACATAGAACATCTATTTAGACTTACAAACTTTTACACTTCAATATCTATTTAGACCTATATATCTACTTACAATTTTATTGACTTTGACTATTTACACTTACTTAGGTTACATATAATACCTATTTAAACTTACTAAGTGTAGACAGACTTACACAGGAAGTGTAGACAGCTCTATTCAGCCTTTTTTCTACTTTATTCATATTTTTTTTTTTTGCATTTTAAAGGCCTCTGTTTTATATATATAGATGACTTTTTTTTTGTATTTTAAAACCCTATATATCTCTCTAGAATTTATTTATATTCTAAATTCCTTTATTTAATATAGTATAG